TGTAGCGTGTATTTCGGGCAAATGGAAAAATTAAAGAGAACCAGTTTTTTTACCCCTCTCCCCCCCCGCAGTGGGTGGCCAGCATTGATTTAGCGGAAAACGAAGAGGCGAGCGCCAACGTCGTGGTGAAAATGGGCGACTCGTTCGTCGAACAAGCAGACCAGGTAACTCGTTCCTGTTTTAGGCGCTTTGCAGGTGGGAAAGAGCGGAGAGGTTGAGTCAGCTACCCACCCAAAACTTATTTTGGATATTTGGGGTTCATCAGCAAAATGGTTCCGCCTTGGTTTGCAGTTGCAGCTCCTAAGGCCAGGTTAGGAACAAACACCTTGGAGAAAATCTGCCTGTGGGGCTGGTAAGGCACCAACTTGACGACCCGGAATCAATAAGGTCCCTCAGGGCAATGCACGTGAACCGACTCCTCCTTGTTTTTGGCTACCATGAACAGCCCCCTCTCTTCTCCCACAATATCCGTATAATATTCAGAAAAATCAGGAGGCAGTCCCTGTTCACATGTATTGCCCTGAAGGGAGGGCGCTACCCTGACTGAATTTCTGCCTTCACGTGGCTGTTAAATCCACAGTGCCAGTGTGGGAAACTCTCGAGAAACATTTCACAACTCTTCACTCCCATTACAGGCGTTAGACCTTTCGTAACCTGCAGATTTTGCATTGTTGGTAATTTGGAGAAAGGGAAAACCAGCATGCCAGAGCCCAACTCGTGCTATGCAGGCCTCCCTCAGACGTGATATATTTTCCATGCATATTAAGATAAAGGGTAAAGGATTTTCCTGTGGTTTATTTCCACAACCACACCATCAAAGTCGCCATCCTGACTTTTTTGACACCCCTCTCGTGAGAAACGTTTTTTGCAGCCACTGCTTACGAGCGATCCACAGCTGAGAATGGAGAACAGTTTCCATGAGCACATGATAAGCATTATGCTTTGCATCCTTGCTCCCATTAATGGGTAGGGCAGGATTGCTGATGCATGTTAACAAGAGATGAAAATTCAGGGGAAAGGGCCATGAAAAGTTTTGCAAAATTCCCCATTCCATAGTTGCAACATTGGTGTCTGCTCTGTATCTTTCTGTCTTATTTTTGCTCCTGAAAAATCAAAGAATCCTATTTTTTCCAGCGGCTTTCCAAAGCCTGCTTTGTTAATATCAGTCTCGCTCATCCCAAACAAGTTTTGAGGCACCCTCTTTGCACCAAAGTGACCCCCGCACCCCGTGTGAAAGGAAGACACGCTTCCTTCCCCAGCATCCCATTTTCTGTGATTTCCAATTCTTGTAATTTTATTAATTCCCAATGTCAGTTATAAGAGGTGGGTTAGCGAAAAGAGCACAAAGATTGCTCTGTTGCAGGTAAGGAAGGAGTTTGCAAAGTTTTCACTGTTAACCAGGTAGGTAAGTAGAGCTCTTTCTACTCCTTTACACCTGAGTAAGAGAGGCAAGAGAAAAAAACTAGTAAATTTAGTAAAATCTGTGCCAGGGCTGGATGACTTCAGATTATAGGTTAGGACAGTGTTTCTCAACCTTGGCGACTTGAAGATGTGTGGACTTCAACTCCCAGAATTCCCCAACCCCCCCCCCCCGCTTGGGGGATTTTGGGGGTTTAAGGCCACAACATTTTCAAATCCCAAGGGGGGAAAAACCTTG